TGAGTTTATGATTATCAAATCCAATAGCCGCAATGGTTATAATCCAGGAGGGAAACTCCACAAAAAAGTTTTATTTCAATCACTACCAACTTTTTAAAATATTATCATGGAATACTCATTTCTTTCGCAAGAGAAATTTAACCAAATTGTTGAGAAGTATCTTCGATCTCTTACGAAATCTGAGAAAAGTGTAATCACGGAAGAAACTGCACAGCAAATAATTCACTTGATTGAAAATGATTTCAAAGATAGTACTGTTGATTAAGATGGGCGCGAAATTTTACGAGCTGAACTATCAACGGACAAAAATATTTGTACAAGAAGATAAGCAAGAAATGGAAGTCCGTGTTTGCACCAAAGAAGAAATGTACTTGATCTTTTGCCGCATGCATAATGGAGACATAGGAGAAGGTCATCGTGGTCAGAACGCAACATGGACCTTCTCAACGAACGATACTGTTACTTTCCCCAGAAGATATGTTATACAGCGTGTAAAGCGTGTTCGGTTTGTTGTTCGACCAAGTCGATTACAAAAGTCCCCGAAGGAAAGCCTATCATAGCCAAGCGATTTCTTCAGCGCGTGTAGGTAATATAACGATAAACTTATTTTTGTGAATACTACTTCAACCAATTGTTTACGCTTATTATTATTTCTATTACTATTATAATTATAGGTTGACCTTATCGATATGGCACAAGCACAAGATGAAGGATTTCGTTATATCGTTCACATGAAGGACCATTTCACCAAATTTAGCTGGGCACGAGCGATTAAACAAAAAACGTGGTCACGTTCCTTTATGAAATTTCTTGATGTTTGGACTACCATAAATACTCTAGTGTGATAACGGAAAAGAGTTCTCCGGGATTACAGAAAAACTTGGTAATCTGTGGCCAAATTTAAAGGTCATTCATGGACGACCGCGTCACCCGCAATCACAAGGCATGATAGAACGGGCCAATAGTATTACGGAGAAAAAAATTGCCCGATGGATGGAGACACACAGGCAGACGAATTGGACAAGTGTCTTAGGCCGTATCGTGTACACGATGAATTGTGAGATATCTCGCACCACTAAGCTCAGTCCATACGAATTAGTTTTTGGCCGTTCACCACACAAAGACAGGGTGTTGCTAGACGAATTATTTGAAAGTGGTGTAACAGAAGAAATATTAGCTCGGGATAGCGTTGATATTGAAAGCAATGATGAAATTGAAGATGAAGGTAGATATTGTGACTTACGCTGTTATCTCTGGTAACATTAATTAATATTAACTAATATATATGTTGTCTAACGTAATATCGGAAATCGATCCAATACATTTTACAGAACTATTACTATTGACGATAATGATGAAGATGCTGACGATTATATGACCGATGTGTTGATATAAAATATACTTTAATGATGTATCTTTTATTAATATGAATGCTTTAAAAATTCAGACATTTCTGCTAATGCAGTCTTAACATCGAACACTGAAGCGGATGATGCAATTGAGATGGAAGGTGGTATTAAAAACCGCTTATTATTGTATAACAAAAATTCTAATAACCTATACAGATGTCAGGGAAATGACGGCACCTAATGTCAATGCTTCAGACGGGGGAAGTAATTTCAGTGGTAATTTTTCCACTTTCTAATATTATGTACAGTCGTCCCCCTCTATAGTCACGCTGTCGGGAACAATGCAACTTTTGTTGGAGGGTTTTTTCAATTGGTTCTCAACATGGTGTGCTTATAAAGAGGCTTTTATATGATGTGCTTATAGAGGGGGTGACTGTAGACTGTATTTAATAACAATTCTATTGTTAATTTTTTCTAATTATAACTTCTGAACTATAAGAAACCCTTTTTGAAATGCCTGGAGAATACGGATATACTTGGGATGAATACCGGCAATTATTGACTAACGTCTTTGGTATCCCAGAGAAATCGCGAAAATGACAGGAATCCACAAATGTCTGGAGGAACAGACTAAACAACTGGTTGGACAAAATGACTGAGATGAGCGTTATACGCAAGTCAAATAAAGGTAAGCACTGTAATACGTTGATTATTTACTAAACATATCCGGTATTGAATTAATGCTACTATACCATTAGAAACCAAGAAATACCATCCACGACCCCGACCACCCGATAGGAAAGGCAAGCTCCCTGAAACTGATGACTTTTTCATAAATCGCGAGTACGTAGTCCCGTGGAATCGATTGAGGAGCTTGTGGACCGTCTATTTCGGTTTACAAAAAGAATTTCCAGAGGGCGTTGGAGTTAAAAGAATTAAAGAAGCGTTAACGGACTGCGTGCGGTACAGAAATAACGCGCTGGAGTAAACTCCGACGAGATCACCCAATGGAAGGCGGTGGATTAATGAGCCGACAGTCTGACTCAGGCAGACGAAGAACTTGGGAATCATTATTTAATATAACTGCATAGTAATAGTGATTATAAAATAAAGTTTGATTATCAAAATTCTTTGCCAATACACATTAATAATCAAGTATTATCCGCCGCTTTTACCGTGATCTGCAAACTCTTGAATAATCCGGTCGCAATAAAAGTAAACGCGTTTCTAAAATATCGATTAAATATCTAAATTCGCCACTCGGATAATTGCGGGACAAGAGGGCAATTATTATTATCCTTTGTTGATATACGGATTAACGGTTCTCTGATATTAATATATCAACTAATTTAGAGAATAGGGTTTGATAGTATAAATGCGATGCTCGTTTATTAACAATAATATATGAAATAAAAGGAATATTAGGAATCAAATTCACACTGCGAAACACCCCAATTCTAGCTGAAATTCATGCTGCTTATACAATATTTGCAGCTACATCGCACTGTCCACGCACGCTACATTCTCTATTATTATTAATTTTGTACCACTTGCAGCGATGCGCGACATTGAGGTTGAGGTCTTTATTTGGCACACGATGCGCGACATTGATGTTTTGTTCTCCACAATGTTTGTGGCACTGCTGCGGCACTGCTTGTACTTCCATTGCCTAAATTCCGCAGCAGCACTGTCGATCGTATTGATTGCTGCGGCATCGTCTAATGCTTTAGCATCGTCGTCGGAGGACCGCAGAAATTTAGGCGTAGCATCACGCTGTATTGAAAAGAAATAATACACCCTCCTACCAAAAGTCTTTACTCATTGATATGAAACACGATATTTTCGTTGCCGAAAGCCTAGTGATACCACTTACTATTATTGTTATTATAGTTATTTACTGCCTGATCGGTTGACAGAAATAAAACTTTTTTGTGGAGTTTCCCTCCTGGATTATAACCATTGCGGCTATTGGATTTGATAATCATAAACTCA